TTTCTTCCAGTGGATGCTTAGTTTATTTTGTCATTCTGATCGGATTTTCTCTACTGTTCCGTTTTAATTTTAATTTTAAATTGTTTTGCATTATATGGCCGTTTGCCATTGTATTTATTCACTTCTAATATATTTTATTCAAATGCAATCTTCTTTATTCCATTGATGTAGGCCCTTCACTGAAAAAGAAAAAAAACATATACGAGCTTGACAGAAAATAAAAATAAATGATCAATCTAACAATACATAAAAAAATCAAATTCTCATTTTCGTTTTATGTAGAATAGGTTTATTACCGTTCACGTAGCAGTATATAACGGCCTATCTTGATTGATGCTATGAAACACAGACATGAAGGTCATGGTTGAATGCGTTTCTGCTGACACGTCAATGCGTTACAGATCCACAATGTCAACGCATTACATACCGACACACGACGGGAAAAAACAACAAAACAAAATCAAGATACATCGATTTTTAAAGGAATTCGGATAATTACCGTTCTAAAAGTTGGTTTCTATTGATTATTAAGTAGTTTTCTACTCTGGTGTGGTAATATTTTTATCATTTTTGTACCCGTGTGTTCCCGAGTGGTCCCGAGTGGTCACGAGTGGTCCCGTGTGTTCCGTGTGGTATTTAGTAGGACCAGGGTTGCCATTTGGCCTTTTTGACGGCCAGATTCCTCAAATCTGGCCGTATAAAAATTTGCCTGGCCGTAACGTTTGAAAAGTCACGGCCAAACTATATTTGACCGAATTTGGCCGAATTTTTGAATTTACATTTTTTTTCAATACGGGCCTAATATAGGCCTAACAGACTTGTTTTTGATGTGTTGTTTTTGTTAGCTTAAATTCTATATTTGATTCTAATCACAGTGGCGGATCTAGGGGGTTCAGGGGGTGGGGTTCATTCCCCCCCCCCCTCTGCGAAGAAACGTAACAAAACACTATGGGTCCTGGCTTACAAAATCCATGCTAACTAGACGCGGATCCAGACCTTCGCCCACTTCGCCCAAGCGAAGGTCAGGGTGAGAATTCAAAATACAATTTTTTCCAACAATCATACTTACTTTCCTTGACACTTATTTCGAACATTACCATTAGAAAAATGTTTAAAATTCCACACTATCCTATACCTTACACTTTTAAACTGATTGTACTGTAGGCCCTCCCAGAGAGACCAATACATTATGGTCTTCCACTTCTATCACATGATACAGTGCATGCATAGCAAACGTTATGTAACCACTAATTAATAATACTCAGGTAGTGGCGTAGGTATGGGCAGTGCAGTCAGTGCACAGCACTGGGGCCCGGGGCTATTGGGGGCTCATTCAATAGGTATAATGATCTAAAAATTTAACTTAAAAAAAATCCTATTCAAACTTTAAAAGGACCCTTCAATAATATTAGGTTTTAGAGGCTATAGTTATTGATTATATCCACAATTTACCTATTAGGCCTACCTATTTCCCAAACGCTGCAAGTAAAAAAAATAATAAAAAAACAACAATACAAGCCCTTATGTATACGATGGACTAATATACTTTTTGAAATCGCATTTCTAAAGCAATACAATATCGTCACGCACATTTTTGTGTTTGTGGTACAGTATTTTAAAGTTGGTTCAACTATTATTGTGTACGTTTTCAAACACTTCAGATCACCATAACTTCATAAATACATTTTAGGTTCAGTTCACTGCAAGTAGGTCGATGACTGTTCTATTATTGAATGGTAATTGTTATCATCGTGATGGAATAGACTTCCTGGATTTCCGTAAGGAGAATCGATTAGTGCCTATATGTATTTTGCCCAACCTGTCGCGAAAATGTATTGAATACTCAGTGCGTGATTCACTAATACACTTTTTGAAATCACATTTCTAAAGCAATAAAATATCGTCACGCACATTTGTATTTTTGTTTTTTTAAAGTTGGTTCAACTATTATTGTGTACGTTTTTAAACACTTCAGATCATCATAACTTCATGAATACATTTTAGATTCACTTCACTGCAAGTAGGTCGATGACTGTTCTATTATTGAATGGTAA